GATGCCCATAAGAGTCCATACAGAGATTACGTACTGTTTAAATCCTTCTGATAATTGCTAGGCAGTCTGTACCTAGCGGACCAGACTCTAGCCTCAGTCCAGTACTCTGGAGAAGTTGGGAGATGGCATGGAATGGGGATCCAAAGAATAGGGAGACCCACAGGCTGAGAAGGCAGGAAATGGGAGGCAGCACCCACTGGATGAAGGGAGCCTGGGACAGTCTGATGCAGACCTGGGGTTCCCTCCCGATGTGCCACAGGGCTCTAAAACTGTCCCGTGGCGAGGGGAGCAATGGTCTGGCTGCAACCAGTAGTTCTACTGCTTTGCTTTTATGCAGCACTCAGTCCCAGGAGGGCAGACGGCCCCACCTCAACAGGCAGGCTACAAACATGTCCTGGAAAAGAACGAAAGGCTATCTGACCTCAGTAGGACAATGAGAAGCTCCTTTGCACTATGCAAACATACCACTCGCGAGTGAGTAATGCAGAGACAAACATGTTTTGGTAAAAGAACAATGCCCCAGAATTAAAAATCTGAGAAGCCAGGCATGCAGTCAAGCAACTTAAAACTTGGAAGCCTAAATCACTCTTAAAAAATTACTTTTTCTTTTATAAGTTTTCTCTTTAGTATTGAAAAAAAAAAAAAAACCTGAAGAGGGACTTCCTCACTGAAGAAAGACTTGGAAAAAACCCAGACCTAATCTAAAAGTGGTCGTTGGCCGGCAGTTCTCTGGCTCCCCTTGCTATTATTAAGTATCCTTCTGTTTGACGAAGAATTTCTCCACCTCTCACAAACCGTCTTTTCTCTCTGTGTCCAGAAAAATCTGAAAACCATGTGTTTATACTGAGCCTGTTGCTATGCAAATCATTAAAACACATTACAAACATCTTTCCTTCGAGTCAGGAGAACATAATGGAGGAAGATGAACGGCTAGCAAGAGTCCCCTTTGCTGAACAGAAAAGCTGGCAAAAAGGAGTACGTGAAGCAAAGCAAAATGGAAAAAATTATGGTGGTCTCATCCCCTGAGTCATTTTAACCAGAGGGGTAAAAAATAATATTCTTAAAGCCCCCGAAAAGAAGAAACATCTTTCAGTTTGGAATGGCGTTAATAAACTCTGGTCTTAATCTCTTTGATTCCTATGGTTTCACGACTCCCCCTCCATTTGTCCATGAGTGTGTGCTTTTTCACCACTTTTTTCAAGAATATCAAGAAGGATTTTTTTTCTCTTAAGTGTACTCCTGTGTGAATTCTTCTTCTGATATCTTTTGCCTTCTCATTCAATTGTTACCTAAATGTACAGCCTGAATTGTACATTTCTTATGCTACTCAATCATGGCATCTTGGTAGACTACCTGCACCTATGAAGAGGTTTGTTATTCAAAAGTCATATCCAGGAGACAAGATGAGACACATCATGTCAAAATTAATGTCAGAAAAGCACAGCTGCTCTATTTTCTAATTTAAAAAAAAGTTTGGACTTGATCATTTTAATATAGCCAAACACCTTCTTGAACAGCTTGCACTCAACATCATTCTCAAATTTTTATTGTGTTGTTCTGAATACTCAAAGTTTTGAGGATGGAATTGTCTGGGGGCAGGAAATGAAATACACGCCTTATAAATGTATCTTAGTTTCGTCCCTATGTGTCAGATATGTATGTGTTATCTCCCTCTCTCTCTCTTACACAGAGTATTACCTTCAAACACTTCGTTCTTCTTCAGAGAGAAGAAATGGCTGGTGCCACTAAGGCTCTAGAACCTGTTTTATTCTCAAATAGAAGCAGCCAAACCATTGCAAACATGTGCTGGGTGAAGACAAGTTTGGTTGGCTCCAGACAAAGGCTTATTTTTTAAGCACAGATGGTTGAATGGCTGTCTCTTCCAACCGGCTGCCTACAATCGAAGACAGATTTCTATTTCTAATCTATGCAAATATCTTACTTTACAGGGCATCACAAAGACTGACTCTTTTGTGTTAGACACCGCAGATCCCAGGTGCTCTGCGAGATGTCAAAGCGCATCTCCACCTGAGATGCCTGGTAATTGACGGCAGCGGATGACTGAGGAGTCGGTCACTAACCCACTGCCAATGAACGTTGTCGGGGCCTTCTGTGGAACATTCCCCTGGAATCCTGCCCTGCCACCACTGCTTATCCTTGGCTGCTCTGCCTGGAAGACAGTGTCACTATTCAACTGGGACCCCAGATGCTTCTAAAACCACCCAAGAAGGCTCCGATTCCCACAGGTTCCTAATGACTCTTAGTAGCATTCTTCACCTTGAGTTCAGCTCATTTATGTACCTCTAACACCAAGTCCAGAAACCTTGAACGTTCAAAAATGTGATTCTGTCCAAATCAGGTCTCCTTTATACTCTAGTCCACGTGCCTTGAACCCATGGTAAGTTTCACCGACTCACAACTGGGTCATTGTTAGTGGCCCTCAACCTCCCCAGTGTATGTTTATCCTTTTCTCTTTTCTTTCTCCCTCTATCAATTTTCCTTTCTTTCTTTATAATACTTTTTTCTCTTTTTTCCCCACCTCCCCAGCTGGAGAAAAAAGTATGACTTGTTCTGATTTCCTAATGCCCCTTGGAGGCAATGCTGAAAAAAAAAAAGACATAACTCTTCATGCCAATCCAGCCCCTAAAGCGAAGGTTATACCTGAAATCTACAGTTTAGTTTCAAAGGTAAGTCTAAAAATGTCCTTTAAAGTTTTAAATTATGTTAGTTTTGTGTTTAAATGACAGTAACAGTGTTTGCTTTAAAACGTCTGTTTTGGAAAACACTTCTTTCCCTCTTTTTCAGACTTTATCTTAAATGAACCAAGTTAACTGAGCAAAAAGAAATTCAGAAGACAAAGCAAAGAAGTCCTTTTTAATCTCCAGCTCAGGAACCACCACCACCAAAAATCTTGGCCCTACACCTCAATTTTTGAGATATAAACACATCATGTTTCAGCTTATGGATGTACATATTGACAGTCAGAAATAATGCAGCATTAAGTATACTTACCTGGAAAATTTAAAAGTTAACTAACTTATCAATTCCCACGTCTGGATGAACATCAGAACCATCTGAGGAATATTAGTTATTAAAGCAATACATCCTCACCTCCAGCCCTAGACATTCCAATTCAGACTTCTCAAACGGCCCGAGAATCCATATTGGTACTAGATGTCCCAGGTAACTATGGTATAGCAAGCGTGGTCTGTGTGAGAACCACTGATCTATTCCAACACACTATCCAATACGGCGGTCTCCTCTTCAGGACACCACATCAGCTATCAGCTCTGTACTAACAGACTGGGCGCAAGCCTGTTTACAAGTCCGCTTGTTCTACTTTAATGGTTTTAATTATTAGAAGCCATGTTCTTATGTTGAGCCAAATAACCAGTTTTTCAACTCGAACTTCACTTGTTATTGGCCATAATTTTGTGCACTGGAGCTGACAAAGAATTCCCTCCCCACAGAATTCTTCAAATACCCCAAGGCTACTACACCCTTGTAAGTCTTTGTTTTTCTAAGCTAAACAACCTTTTCCTTTAACTTCACTAAGCACAATTTCTGAGTCCCTCGTCCTTTAACTGCTCTTCCTTCATAACAGACCTGTCCAGAGTAACAACACTTGATTTTTGTCTTACAGATGATTTTCCCCACATACATTAATGTAAAGTCCGTGTTTCATCCTCGTAGCTTATCACCTTGCATTTAACGGTCCAAGAACCACAAAAGAACAAATAAGTATTATCTTAATGTTGTGTTCCTAACACTGTGTAAAGTACTCAAGGAGAATTCAAGAGCCAGAGGAAATTTTCCCATTTTGAGAAGTTAATAATTTCTTGTACAGAAAGGACTTAGTGAAATAACTTGAAAATACTACATGATAATGGTCAACTAAGTACCTCTACTGAATGATACCCAAAAGATTGAACACAGGTTTTCTGGGTCAGACTGTGAGCTAACTCATGGTCTCTGCTTACAAAACGGTCTCCTATTAAACAACAGTTTTTGATTTAAAAAAAAAAAAAAAAGATCAAAACCATCACCTTAAAATGTATATATAAACCTTTCAAGTGCATCCTTATTTCAGAAGTTTAACATCTAAGAAACTCCCCATGCAATAATCTTGAAGAATATGGTTCCTTCTTTCCAGCATGTCACTGGCATTGACTCCCAAGCCCTCTGAACAGCATGATCTGAGTAAACGGCAAAAAGCAGAAAGTATATGCAATTCCCTTAATTATTGGGAATAACCATTTGATGAGAAGACACCTTCCTCCTGCATATTTAATGGAAAACTCTTATCAGTAAGTGAGTTGTACTAACAGCAACAAAAAGGCCCTTGTTTCATTCACAGAATCACAGACTCCCAGAGCTTTCAGAACTTGTGCAAATCCCTCACTTCACAAATGGGGGGGGGGATATTATTTCATAGCTAACAGGTAGTTTCTCCCATGCGAAGCAGCCAGTGGGCAGGAGGGGGGCCGGCCAGTCCCCGAGTCTCCTCTCTGCTGTTGGCTTTCTGAATCCTCCTACATAACCAAGGACAGTCAAAACTCCCGCCCTCTCGGTGTGCTCCTCCGCCCGATTCCCACCGTCAGTTACCTTCTCCATCCACACACCCCAAGTCTGATGGTACACTGGGTTTGGGGGTGCTCTGAGGGGACCAAACAGTATGAGGTGCTCAACTTTTCCTTAAATTCTAGCATACCTATGTTACCCACAGTCTCCAACTAATATTTTATGCTGCTAGACACAAAATTCTACCTGACTCAGGATCACTGCTCCCTTACTAGCATGACAGCGAACCACAGGGGTTACATGGACTCAAACAAAAATTCTAAAGCTGCAAAGCACCTGGCAACCTCCTCCTCACACACACACACACACACACACACACACCCCTCCCTCCCCCCTAAATGAAGCATCTCCTCTTTCTCGCCTGAAGCCTCAGAGTCAATCCACACCCTTACATGGAACACAGAAACATGTGCACTTACCTTGTGGCCTCTTGCTGAAGCCATGACACATTTGGCACATAGAACATGACCCCAAAGAAAAGGAGAGGCTCATTAGCGAATTTGTCCAGATGTTTCTTCAGAGGTTTCTCCAGCTCCACCCATCGTGCTTGCTGGCTCTTGCTGAGGAACCAAAGGCCAAAGTAGTGCGTCTAGACAAAAGGGTGAAATAGCATCAGTTTGTGCCTACGCGGGACACCCCAACACCACACAAGAAGCAAGATTCCAGTGCCTTACACCACCGCTGGTTCCCAGCCAATACACAAGGCCCCGGCTTTTACTTTCTTACTTTGAGACCCAGATGCAGGCCATCCTGCAATCCACACTTAGCATCCAGACGCAGTCCTCACACCCACTGCTGCTGCCCATACTGTGGGAACTGATGGTGCCTATGTTAGGTAAAGTGGGTGGTGCAGGGTGGGGACAGTGCTGGCTTTTTCCTAAAGCTCTCAAGGCTGGCTTTCCTATGCTTTCGGAATGCCTCGTGAGCTCACATGGAACACGCTGGCAAAGGCGAACACAGCTCTGGCACCTGCTGCAGAGTAACTTACTCCTCAACTCCTATGAAAAACTTTCTGTCAACTGAAAGTCTCCGCATTGTAGAGTATTTTCATACGGTACCAGATTCAAACAGAAAATCAATTTACTCCTGTTGGGTTTTAATGAAGTACTTGAAAAAGCGTCGCCCTCAACCCCTTCATTATACATGAACTGCAGCAAATCTCTCATCCCCATTGAGCTTTGAGAATGCAAGCATCTTCTAGGACTTCACAGCTGCCACAGGGGCCCCAGCTGGCTGGTCTTGCAGATAATGGTGGGATTTGACAGATGAAAGTGAGATTTTCACCCTTAAGACTTGCAGCCTCAATCCGTTTAGTTTTGAGCAACGTGCTAAATGATTCAAACCGGTAACATTTAGGCATCCAATCCTGCCTTTATATTAATGCATGCCAGGATTTCAAGATTAGCACAACAATCACCAAAAAAATCGATCACTGCTTTTGAAGCATTCTTTTATATTTCAATTAGAGCTTAGAATGGTTTACAGCACACCTGGAAATTTGCCTTCAAAAGAGTGTTTTCATTAAAGGGTTTAATTTCCAAAGGCATTCTTGTGGCGATGTTCCCACTCCAGCTGGCTGCCACCTCAGTGATACCAAAGCTCAGTCCCTGCCAGATCCCCACCAAAGTCTGCAATAAAATTCTGACTCTGACTTTACTAGACAACCAGACATGTCCTTGCCTACATAAAGCTACAGAACCAACCACTCTTAAAGGATATTTTTAAATGGGTATGCTTTCAGATGGGAGCAGTGACTTGATCAGCTTTCCTGCATGATATACCAAAAGGCAAGTTCACACCAGAAATCTATGCATTTCTGGAGCAAGAAAATGCCTGTGAAGTCAACGTTGTATTTCTATTCATGTAAGACAACCTTGCTTGAGCGAATTCTGACCCTATTGCTCATTTCCCAGCTGTGGATGAATCCATTAGTTATTCCAATGTGGCTGATGATACAGAGGAAATGAAATGTGGCTGAACTGGAAAAAAAGAGAAACAGGCTTTGAAGTCAGTTCATCTCACAGCTTTTACGCTTACTGGGTCAATAATTTGTACAAGTTCCCGAGCCTCCCAGTCTCAGAGCTTCTTCATCTGTAAAATGGGGATGGTTACAGCCGTCAGCCACAGGCTGCTGGGGGCCGGGGGGTGATGCCTGCCAGTCGTTAGTGTGGCACGTGCTAAGTAACTACTTCGTACACGGTGCTTGCTATTGCTGCTATTATGGCCCCGATGTTCAGCAGCGTCGGAAATGAAAGCAGGCAAGCCTCAAGAATCTCTGTCATCAGCCCTCTGGCATCCCTATGAACCGCACAACTAGAAACCACAGGCTATCCGGAAATAAACAGGAAGAAGCAGGCACAGGCAGAAGCTGGAAAGCCAGTAAATAACATGAAAACCTAAAAGCTACAAGAAAAAATATAATCACAAAACTGCGCCTCCCTGAGATTTTCTTTCGAGTCTCATTACAGGTGTTTATGGGACTAGGGAGCATCGCTCTGATGCTGTCCTAGGGCATCTATGATGCAGGCTTAGGCTAACCTTCAAATGAGGATACCTGGGCACTTAATTTAACAAACTGTCTGAAAAGGGTCCAAGGCAGTTCTGCATTATTCCTTTATGGAACACAGTGCCACGTAAGGGTATCCCACTGTGTTTGGGATGCCTGGGAGTGAGTTGGCATATAATAAATGAGGTAACAGATGTAAACAAGAATGCACTATATAATAATTTTAGCTGGAAAAGAGCCCTTTTATAAGCCTGGGTGGAGAAAGAGAGGGCAAACTTTGCAACTCCTTAAAAGACCCACCATGATTTATTATCTTTCACAGAAAGTATAGCCTTAACATTTGGGTATGTAATTTTATGGCTCATATTTCATTCGAATTATAACATTCACTCAAATTAGTAACATTCAAATGATAAAGGGTCCACAGTAACTGCATGAACATTCTACAATTAATTTTGCAAAAAAAAAAAATTATAAATTTTTAGTGCTTCTGTGCTTTCTGAAGTATAGAATTTTAAATTTCCTTTTCTCATTCCCACCCACTGAATCATTAAAATAGACTTAGTTTACTCCGAAAAGATACCCCAAGAAATAATATTCCACAGAGTATACACACACACAGACATGCATGCACTGAAAAGGAAGATGATGAGGTACAAGAGGAATCACAGTGGGCAGTAGTCTTGAGCCATAATTAATAGTTCAGAGCTCTAAATAACAAGGCAAACCACTTCTAATGCAAAAACCTAGTTCATGCCATGAGATTTCTTTTCGTTGCTACAATACAACCTTTTCCAGAGGACAAAGAATATTTCAGGGTGACTCACCATGCATTTATCCAGTGAAATAATTACATAACTACTCAAGAAATGGGATTTCCAGTACAGGGTAGAATTGGGGGAGGCTGGTAACCTGCCAGGCACAGTTTCTACCTACATATGGCCAGAACAACCTAATTTTAGAAGTCTAAACTCAGTTACCTAGCAGAGGAAAGTCCATTTAGGAGATCCCCATCCCCATACTGTTTTGTGAAACTATGTCCAAGTCATCTTCTCTATTCCCACCCTACCTCCCTCATTCTTCCTCTGAAGAATTCAGTGGAGGAAAAAGGCCCTGTCTCAAAGTTCTCTTGTAGACCTGCTTTGAGACCCTGCTTGATTCAAGTTTACGATGCAGCCCAAGTTTGTTCTGCCGCATCTATACACTGCCTCACAGGAAATGGAATCAGAACCTAACCTCTCATTTAAACTAACATATGCACCAATCAACTTCCTGTGTATTAGCCAAGTGAACATTAATCTCATCAGGTCCAGCTGAGTCCACACCATTCCTGTTCATAACTGACTTGCCAATTTAAACACTAGCTGAATTCTGGAAGCTGAGCTTCACTGTTAAACACTGCCGTATGGTTGAAGAGAATGTGGTAGATGATTCCAAATAGAAACCACCTCCTCCACCACCATGAGGATCCCATTATACTGCCTGAGTAAATGCCCCAGACACTTGTTTTGTTTATCTCCGAGGGCACCAAACATCAGCTAGGCCCATTTAATCCTCACAATACCTCTGGCTTGAACTACAAATCCCATTTTATTTCTCTAGCTGTCTTTAGAGAAAGCTCTGGTGCCATGAATTCTGCACTGAGTTCATTGCAATACAGAGAAAAAGAGGCAGAAGAACTAGTTTCCGGGGAGAGGAATCACATCGCTGAATCAATTACTAAAAATGCACTAGAAAGAACAATATAAGGAGAGCCACACAAACAGGTCCTTTATGAGTAGTTTCCTGGTTTACTTGATTTGACTTTTGCATTTGAACAGAGGAAATATAAATGGATGCATGCACTCAAAAATACGCTAGTTTCTTCAGTAGCTGACGGGCATATGAATACTTTAGTGACAAAGATCCCTCTTTCAGTATCATGAAAAGATTCTAGTTAATAAAAAGGCCTTTAAAAATAGTTTGGGTTGTCTCTTCATTTATTTGTAGAGATAGTGGCATACCCCACATAAACTACTAATAGGGAATGCTTTTTGAAGGTTTTGTTTATCCAGTTTCGTGAACAATGACACAGCTTTAATGCTATTTATAAGGGTTACAGACAGTCTTGGCAATTACTAAGGATTCAGTCCATGATCTTATCTCCAGCATTTTGAAGAGCTAATCATTCAGAAGCGACTATTTAAAATATCTTGCATTAAGTTGTACTAGGTTGCCTGCTGTACCCAGTATTCCAGTTGAAATGAAGAAATAGAGTTGGTATGCCTCCACATAAAATATACAGGAATTACATACATGCATGAAAACATTCTCTGAGGCATGGAAAATGCTTCAAAAGATGACTCTAAGCAGACTCTGAAGCAGCCCATCATGCAATTACATTCCAACAGCTTTGAAAAATAAACCACTACACATTAGCTGGGTAACTGTAAAAAACAACTTGTGTGCAATCACCCTCTACTCTGGGTAGGTCAGGGATTTCTATGACTGACGCATCTATAATTAACAACTGCACCATCTTCATCTTCTTAGCCAATGTTTTCACAAAAGTACACGAAAAGAAACTGTAGAGTAACACAGACCAAAAAAGCAAACCTCCTAGCCAAGAAGAATCACTCTTCTGAGACTTCACAACTCAAACTATCCAAAAAGACGAAGACTTACAAGTCAAGACAGGAAAATCATATCATTTACAATCTCTGTATCTGGAAAAGAGACATGGGTGCCAATTTACCTTACAGAATTGACAGAAAGCAGTAAGATGTCACATTATGACCTTTACAAAGACAAAAAACAACACAGAATTCAAAGACTGAAAATTTGCCCTGCTGTCTACTCTTACATAGATTTTAACCAGTGTTGACTATTTTAGTCCTCTACAGATACAAACATATATGGATGCGGGTAAGCAGGCTATAAAATAAAGCAAATTCCAGTATTATCTGACAGGGCCAGGAAATGAGGTTCCATTTAATCCTTAATGTCCCTAATGTAAATCAGCTTTTCTTGGATGATGGCACATGCATGTTAAGATTCTGTATCTTTATAAACTCTGGCCACTATGAAAATAGCAAAATGTGGGA